GCCTCCCAAAGTGCTGGGATTACAGGCGTGAGCCACCGCACCCAGCAGGTCTTTTTTTCCTATTCTTTTCAAGACAGGGTCTGACTCTGCTGCCCAGGGTGGAATGCAGTGGCATTATCTCTGCTCACCGCAACCTCTGCCTCCTAGGCCCAAAACAACCCCCCATCTCAGCCTCCTGAGTAGCTAGAACCATACGTGTGTGCCACCATGGCTGGCTAATTCTTATATTTTTTGTAGAGACAGAAGTCTCACCATTTTGCCCAGGCTGGTCTTGAACTCCTGAGCTCAAGCATTCTGCTCTCCTCAGTCTCCCAAAGTACTGGGATTACAGGCATGAACCATGTACAGCCCTGTTCATCTCTTGGAGATTTTGGCTGTTTCCTCCATTTGGCTATTATGAATAATGCTACTATAAACATTCATGTACCACCAGGCGCGGTGGCTCACACCTGTAATACCAGCACTTTGGGAGGCTGAGGCAGGCAGATCACCTGAGGTCAGGAGTTTGAGACCAGCCTGACCAACTTGGTGAAACCCCGTCTCTACTAAAAACACAAAATTAGCTGGGAGTGGTGGCACATGCCTGTAATCCCAGCTACTCGGGAAGCTGAGGCAGGAGAATCGCTTGAACCCAGGAGGCAGAGGTTGCAGTCAGCCGAGTTCGCACCATTGCACTCCATCCTGGACAACGAGAGTGAAACTCCCTCTCAAAAAAAAAAAAAAAAATTCATGTACAAGATTTTGTGTGAATAATTAGAAAGTAGAATTGCTAGGTCATACCATAACTCCATGTTTGGCTTTTTGAGAAAATACCAAATGTTTTCAGAGTGGCTATACCCTTTTTCATTCCCACTAGCAATGTATAAAGGTTCACATTTCTCCATATCCTCGGCAACACTTGTTACTGTCCATCTTTTTATTTTATTTTTATTTTTTTGATTTCTTTTTTTTTTTCAAGACAGGGTTTCACCATGTTGGTCAGGCTGGTCTTGAACTCCCAACCTCAGGTGATCCCCCCGCCTTGGCCTCCAAAGTGCTTGG